GGGGGGGTTAAAAAGAAAAACTACACAATTTAACAAATCTGTTTTAAAATTTGTGAAATTTTTTATGTCTTCTTTTTCAAAGCTGTAACATTAAATATTCAGGAATTAACAAAGCTGGTGTCTCAAATGTAATGTTTTTTTTGTTTTTTTTTTAGTATAAGGCTTTTGTTTTGTTTTTGTCTTTCTCTCCCAACAAGTTATTTAACATGATTTTACAGTTGTTATACAAGACTGTAATATTTTTTTGTTCCCTGGACAGCTTTGTGGGATAAAGTTTGTTGGCATAAATCATAACTTTAAATCTAATCTTTAAGATGCCTCACTATCAGCTCTTAACCTCGCAGATATTGTATGATAATTTTGTCTTCCGCTGTAATCAGACATTAAATATATTTACCATAAGTTATATAATGCAATTAATAAGGTATATTTGACTAGTACAGGACATGTATGAGGTCAGCAGGACAGTGGTGAGATGTGCTGTAGGAGTGAAAGATAGCTTCAAGGTGGAGGTGGGATTGCACAAGGATCAGCTCTGAGCCCCTTCTTGTTTGCTCTGGTGATGGACGGACTAACAGATGAGGTCAGGCAAGAATCTCCGTGGCCTATGTTGTTTGCAGATGATGTGATCTGTGGTGAGAACAGGGAACAGGTGGAAGAGAACTTGGAGAGGTGGAGGTATGCACTTGAAAGAAGAGGAATGAAAGTCAGTTGTAGTAAGACAGAGTACATGTGTGTAAATGAGAGGGAGGCTGGTGGAACAGTGAGGCTACAAGGAGCAGAGATCACAAAGGTGCAGGACTTCAAGGACTTGGGGTCCACTGTCTAGGAAAATGGGGAATGTGGTAAAGAAGTGAAAAAGAGAGTCCAGGAAGGATGGAGTGGATGGAGAAAAGTTTCAGGAGGGATTTGCAACAAAAGGGTGTCAGCAAAGGTCAAAGGAAAAGTTTACAAGACAGTTGTGAGACCAGTTATATTGTATGGTCTGGAGACAGTGGCACTGACAAAGACCAGAGAAAGAACTGGATGTGGCAGAAATTAAGATGTTGAGATTCTCCTTAGGAGTGTGCTGGTGAAGATTCTCAAAAATGTAACCCTTTCACCACCTAGCTCATTATATTTTGAGATTAGCTATTCAATATAGGTCCCAAATGAATTAAAAGTACCTTATGGTGAAAAAAAAACATTCCAATGTATAGTAACTGTGTCTAGAAGGATAACTGATTCTCAAGAGGTTTGACCACAAAACCAATATAATATAACAGTATAACTACAAGTTATTTTTTACAGTGTACTGCTGAATGAATAAATGAGATTCACACAATAAATTCCTTTTTTTTCCCTTTTGTATTAAAACATAAAATCAGAACATGGAGCCTTAGGAGTGACAAAGATGGATAAGATTAGGAATGAGATCATGGAACAGCACAGGTTGAACAACTGGGAGATAAAGTTAGAGAGGCCAGACTGAGATGGTTTGGACATGTCCAGAGGAGGGACAGTGGGTATA